CAGCTTTAACGAAGGATCTTTTTATGAGCGATAGCGTCAGTATGGAGGCTTATTGCGGGAAAAATATTCACTCTTCTAATGAGGAGTCAGTGCTGTGGGGGATCAGTCTGTCTGACTGTGTGTATCTGTCTGTTTGTTTGTCTGGCTTGGCGGCTCTTTCACTTTGTTTGGCCTCTCTGTCTGGTCTTGTCACTGTCTGTTTATCTGTCTTGTCGTGCTCTCTGCTTTGCCTGGCTCTCTGTCTGTCTGTCTGGCCACTGTCTGTTTATCTCTGTCTGGCTCTCTGCCGTATGTCTGTCTGTCTGTGGCTCTTGCTTGTCGTCTGTCTGTCGTCTAGCCTTCTGTGTGTCTTCAGGCCTCTGTCTGTTATCTGTCTGTTGGCTCTCTCTCTGTCTGTCTGTCGTCTGTCTCTGTTTGTTTTCACTCTCTTCTGCCTTACTAACCCCTCACTTTATTTTGATCTATTTCTTGTAAATATATCCTTTGTTCTAGTCTATATCTTACAATGTCTATGAATATATATGTTCTGTTTATTATGGCTCCATTTCTATATCTGAATCTAAAATATATTCATTTATCTGTCTTCGCGAAATTATACGTTCCTGCCTCTTACCTTGCAACTTATCTCTTCGCTCGCTTCCCCACTACTCTCTTTCAACCTTCCTCCTTTTTCCACTCTTCCCCTCCCATTCTTTATATACTCTCCTACTTTATTCCTTTTCTCCCCTCTTCCTCCTCTCCTTCTCTCTCCTCCTCTCTTCTTCTCTTTCCCTCCCTCCCCTCTTTCCCTCCCTCCCTAATCTGTCTCCTAATCTCTCTTTTCTCCCTCCCTCCCTTTCTTTCCTCTCTCTTCTCCCTACTATCTCCTCTCCTCACCTCTCTTCGCTATCTCATCTCTGCTCCTTCTCTCTCCTTCCCTCTCACTCTCTCTGCTCATTCCTATCTCTGCTCTTTTCCCTTCCTTTCCTCCATCTACTCTTCTCTTTCCCATCCCTCTCTCTCTCTTCTCACTCTCTTCTTTTTTCTCCCTTCCTCCTTCCCTCCCCCTCTCTCTCTCCTCCTTCCTCCCTTCCCTCCCTCCTGCGTGCTGGTCTCCCTCCCCTCTCTTTCCCTCTCTCCTCCCCTCCCTCACTTTTTTCTCTTTTTCGTTTATCAGCGCTCCCTTTCCCTCCACCCCTCTCGTATACCCTCACTCCCCCTTTCCTCCTCCTCCCTCCCCTCCCTCTCACTCCCTCCCTCCCTTCCCCTCCCTCCCGCCTCCCTCCCTCTCCCTCCCTCCCTCCCTCCCTTCCCGCCTCTCTCTTTCTCCCCAGAGAAGTTACTCCAAGAAAAGGAACTTCTGTCGACACTGCGCAAACCAACAAAGTAAAGTTACTTTGATCGACTCCCTGACTACAGCTTCTGCTTGTTTCTTTTGCGTGGAATTCTGTCTCTCGGGTTTGTCGGTCGAAGCCAGCCAGGAGTTCAGAGATTGGATGTCAAGTTAGTTCAGAGATTCGATGCCAAGTTAGTCAGAAGATTGGATGCCAAGTTATTCAAGAGATTCGATGCCAAAGTTAAGAGTTCAAAGATTGGAAGGCCTTTAAAGAGCTGAGATAATGGAATCCAGTAAGAGTTAAGAGATTGAGATATTTAAGGTTCCAGAATTGGATGCCAAGTTATTCAGAATTCGATGCCAAGTTAAGAGTTCAAAGATTGGAAGCCAGTACGAGTGAGAATAGAAAGGCATTTAAGAGTCAGAAGATTGACGTCAAGTTAGTTCAGAGATTGGATGCCAAGTTCGAAGAGTTCAGAAGATGGAAGCCAGTTAAGACTGAACATAGAAACATTTAAAGTTCAGAGATTGATGCCAATTAGTTCAGAGATTCGATGCTAAAGTTTGGAGTTCAAATTGGAAGCCAATTTAAGAGTTGAAGATGAAAGTCTTAAGAGCTGAGAAATGGGAACCAGTAGGAGTTGAGAGATTGAGAGGCATTAAGAGTCAGAGATTCGATGCCAAGTTAAGAGTTCAAAGATTGGAAGCCAGTTAAGAGTTGAGACACTGAGAGGCATTTAAGAGTTCAGAGATGAAAGTGCAGAGTTTTTGGAGCCAGTTAAGAGTTCAGAGATTGGATGCCAAGTTAAAGTTCAGAGATTTCAATCCAATTAGTTCAAAGATTTCGATGCAAGTTTAAAAGTTAGAGACTGAGAGCATTTAAAAGTGCAAAGATTGGAATCTAGCTGAGTGGTTAAGATTAGAAACCAGTTAAGAGTTCCGAGATTGGAAGGCATTTAAGGGATTAGAATTTATAAGGCATTTAAGAGTTCGGAGATTCGATGCCAGTTAAAAGATTTGAGATTGGAAGTCAGATAAGAGTTCAGAGATTCAGTCAGACGAAAATTCAAGATTAGAATCCATTTAAGAGTCACGTATAGCGTCAAGATTAGAATCCAATTAAGAGTCCAGAGATTGGGAGGCATTTAAGGATTGAGATTGGATTTGAGGCAGTGATTTCGGGAGTTAAGAGTTAAGAGACATGAAGGCTGTTGAGAGTTTGAGATGGAAACCAGCTGAACAGAGATTAGAAGTACTAAGCCGTCTAAGAGATTAGAAGCCAGTTGAGAGTTTAGAGATTCGAAGATTTGAAGCCAAGGAAAGAGAGTGAGTGAGTGTGAAGCGTGAGTGATGTAGTCAGTAAT